TCCCAGTCCACAAGAAAAGATATGGGGTCTCATCCCGAAGACATCTGTAACGGCAACGCCGTTTCTCATCCTCCTCTCCACGTTCTTATGGTCTCCTTCCCCGGCCAAGGCCACGTCAACCCTCTCCTCCGCCTCGGCAAGCGTCTTGCCGGTAAAGGCCTTCTCGTCAGCTTCTCCGCCCCGGAATCAGTCGGAGTAGAGATGAGAAAAGCCAATGCCAAAATCAGCGAAGAACCCACTCCGTACGGCGACGGGTTTATCCGGTTCGAGTTCTTCGACGACGAGGTGGACCGGTCCAGCCCTCAAGCGAACGACCTTGACTTCCAAATTGACCAAATAGAACGGATCGGATCGCAGAGGATTTCCGAGATGATCCTTAAATACAAAGAACAGGGGTCCCCTGTTTCTTGCCTAATCAACAATCCCTTCATTCCCTGGGTTTCCGACGTCGCCGAAAAACACGGGATTCCAAGCGCTGTTCTTTGGATCCAATCTTGTGCCAGCTTTTGCGCTTATTACCATTACCAGCACCAGTTAGTTCCATTTCCCAGTGAATCGGAGCCGTTCATCGACGTCCACTTACCCTGCGTTCCGGTGCTGAAACACGACGAGGTTCCGAGCTTCTTGCACCCTTCCTCGCCGTTCCAATTCCTGGCTCGGGCCATTCTTTCCCAGTTCAAGAACCTGTCCAAGCCGTTCTGCATATTGATGGAAACTTTTCAAGAACTGGAGCCAGAGGTGATTGAGTACATGTCGAAGCTCTGTCCCGTCAAGCCCATAGGTCCCCTGCTCATCAACTCACCCGACAAAAGCGGCGGCGGAAAATCCGATGACGTCCGCGGAGACTTCGTGGCGGCCGACAGCTGTACGGAATGGCTAGATTCCAAACCGGAATCTTCCGTTGTGTATATTTCCTTCGGGAGCGTTGTGTCCTTGAAACAGGAGGAGGTGGACGAGATCGCTCACGGGCTGTTGAATTCCGGGGTCTCTTTCTTATGGGTCCGGAAGCCGCCGCTGCCGACATTCCCGGTGTCGGTTTTGCCGGACGGGTTCCTGGAGAAAGTAGGGGATAATGGGAAGATAGTGAAATGGTGCTCCCAAGAACAGGTGCTCGCCCACCCGGCCGTCGCCTGTTTCGTGACCCACTGCGGGTGGAATTCTACCATGGAGGCCATCACCAGCGGCGTTCCGGTGGTGGCTTTCCCGCAGTGGGGCGATCAGGTGACGGATGCTAAGTACCTGGTGGATGTCTTCAAGGTTGGGGTCCGCTTGTCCAGAGGTTCTGCAGAGAACAGAGTCGTCAGCAGGGAGGAAGTGGAGAAGTGCCTGATCGAGGCGACGCGCGGCCCGAAAGCGGCGGAGATGAGGGAGAAGGCGCTGGATTGGAAGAGGAAGGCGGAGGAAGCGGTGGCGGCAGGCGGGTCCTCTGACCGGAACTTGCATGATTTCGTCCGAGACATTGGGAAGAAATGAGCTGGCGGCCTCATAGCCGTTGAATCTCTTTGGCGCAGAAATTGTTTTATGGTTTGGTTTTTTATTAGTACGTATTGTTCCAAGACCAGGTGGTGTGATGGATCGGACATCATTCATGGTCGTTGTTAATATGGTTGAATAAGTACATTTTCTATTTGTGTATCTAATTCATTAAGGAACGCACATGATCTGGGTTACATTTTCAATTTATGTATCCGTTTGTATCCACTTTTTTGATCGCTTTTATACTCACCCTTATTTTGCTTATGTACACAAACAATTTTTTATAAAAGAAACATGATTTTGTGTGTGCTTGTGTGTGTACACAGACAAAATCACTAAATCAAGAGTACTAATGTATGTACAAAGGAGTGTACAACAAGAACAAGTGGTGTTGCATATAGATACGGAAAGATAAAAGCCATAGGTGGAGCTATATGACCTAGTTAGCTTTTTTGCGTTTAAAACGTGAAGACGGGAAAACATCGTGTTTATCAGTTAGTTTATTTACTTCTGAAGTTGGCATTGACATTACCTGTTGCTACCGCCAAGGTTGAAAGAGCCTTTTCAACGATGAAAATTGTGAAGACCGAGTTGCGAAATCGGATGGGAGATGAGTGGATGAATGACTGTTTAGTTCCTTATATAGAAAGTGATGTGTTTGATAGCATTGATGATGAGTTAATTATTCAGCACTTTCAAAATATGCAAGCACGCCGAGGACAGCTATAAAAGGTACTTTTTCTTTTACTATATCTGTATATTTTATTTAGCCTTTTTTTAATTCATGTAATATACTATTAGTATTATTTATGTGCATACACTGAGCTCCGATGCCTAGATCCGCGACTGGGCGGAACCAGACAATAATTTGAGGGGGCGCTCTTATATTTTTTTTTGAAAAACAATTTTTTATTAGGATAAAATAAAAACGAGTGAAAATAATTATTAATACATATAGAGTGAGGTTCTAATAAAAAAAGTTATTCCCGTATAAAATGAGAACGGGCGCATTTTTTACTCGTTTTGGTACACTTGTAGATATTTATTTTACACTTTTTCACAATGAGAGAAAATTTTGATTTATTTATCAAATTGTCACCGAGTTTTTGATAAAATATAGTGCATTGTTGACTGATTTTGACTCATCGGATCTCAAGTTAAATGCACAAGATTTATTCTCGATCAATTTTCATGATAAGAACTCTTTTTATTTGATCTGAAACTTATATATATGTATATGTAGTGTGTTTCAAATAAAAATGCTATTATACTAAACAAAAGGTAAATATTTATATTAACTTAAAGTAGTTTTAGAATTATTCTTGACATTAAATGACAACGTCCGTATATGTCATTATTAGAAGAAGAAATGATTAAAGTTAATTTGAATTGAAGAAATGAGAATTTAAAATAAAAGATATAGAAATTCAAAAAGTGTGATTTAAACAACATTACATCCTAGACTGATTTAATTGAACATAAATAATTACCAAATGGGCTAAAGTCTAAAGAAGCAATAATGGAGAAAGAAAAAAAAATTGTTACTCCTGAGAATTGAACCCGAGCCATTTAGGTAAACAGAGCTCTCTCAACCTCCACCCTACCATTTGAACTATCACAACTCTTACGTTCAAATAGCGACTTCACTTTCAAATAGCGACTTCACTTTATATACAGAACCACCGCCGGAGAAGGGGGAGCGCCGGCACCGGCTCGCCCCCTAGTTCCGCCACTGATAATATGCGGAACATAATGTGTAGAGACTTAGAGCAGTCACTAGTATAAAAAAGGCTTTTCACATCGGTCAATAAAGGCTTTTCACATCGGTCAAACAGCCGATGTGGTTCCAGCCCATGTGAAAAGTATTGACTTTTCACATCGATCAATGAACCAATGTGGAAATTCTTTCTACATCGGTCGTTCAGTGCCCGATCTAGAAGATAGTCCAAAACTGCGTTTTAAATGATATTTCACATCGGTTATAACCCATGTAGAAAAGCAATCACATCGGTTATTTTACAACTGATGTAGAAAAGCTTTGATTTTTCCCGGAGCATAGGATTTTCACATCGGTTATAACCCATGTAGAAAAGATTTTTGACATCAGTCATTTTATCAATCGATGTAAAAAACTTCATTTTTTCTCGGAACATATGTGTTTCACATCGGTTATAACCCATGTAGAAAAGCAATCACATCGGTTATTTTACAACTGATGTGAAAAGCATCAATTTTTTTTTGGTATTTTTCATGAAAAAAATTTGTAATACGACCCCTGTTTATACTATAATCACATCATAAACAGTATCATCAACTACTATAGCACAATTTTTCACTTGTTCACTTGATCCATCTAAAACAATAACACAAGCTATTTTTCAATTCTTCTAAAAATGTTAAACAAATTCAAGTAACAACTTAGTACATAATAATAAGCTAAAATAAAACAATCCTTGCAAAGTCTAGAGTAATAACACATTGTATAAAGTTACATGTCTCATCACCACTCAAAAACTTAAACAAACAATTTCTTCATGTGTCGTTGATGGATTGCGTCATTTCTAAGAAATATGATGCCCAACGAGTTCGTACTTCATCAATCTCTTCTGATGAGAATGGTTCCGGATTGGCGAATCGCTACAAATTAAATAAGAAGGTTATTAAAAAACATTACATGGAGCAAACCTATTGAATGTAAATAAAATAATAATGTACCTCATCCCACATTTCAAGAATTACCGCCAAAACAATATTCAACCTAGCAAGTAAAAAGGTGGCAACTTAGCCTCTTGTCATTCTACCATTTAATGCTAAAATTTAAGAAAATTATACCAGCAAATTGGCACTCACATCTTGATACTATAATCAATTCTTTCGTTTTATGCTAAAAAAGACTTCGTTGTTTCATCCACAGTTAACAACTATCAATGTAAACCTAGCAAATATTTACATTTTAGTTATCAAACAGTATATGAGCATCTATCAACCCCAAACTATCACAATTCTGAATTTCAATGTAATCTACTTTATGACAAAAAGGGCCATAACATCCCCTGGTGTTTATTAAAAGAAACATTGTCCCGATAAAGAAGTATTTCCAAACAACATCACACATGACAAAAGCTTAATACCAATTTAAGACATAAGAATCCAATACCACAAAATACTATCAATTTGTGTGCATACAATTATACAATGCCATGCTCCGAGTTGTGCATAATTCCATAAACAAATTTCAATCAAGAAGTAGACTTTCTTGTTAATTACTATTACGTAAACAGGTCAGTCAACAACTCTATATCAATGTTTCTTCTTAAGATAAAATAACATTATGTTTGGATTTGTTAAACAAGGAAGTAATTCTAAACCAACAAACTTCCAATAGCTGCAAAAACAGAACTTTAATTTGTCTAAATATTGTCATGGTCTAAATACACAATACTGGTCTATCCACACACCTAATAAGATCTAGTCCAACATTCTACATCTCAAATGAACTCTTAGCAGATAGCAAGTAGAGTATGAGGGAACACACCAATGGTGTACTTTAATAATATTGTAAAAGGCTGTGTTGCAAATATTGCTGCCAAACTTGAGATTATGGAGCCATGCTGCAGTGTAAAGGACATGGTAGGATTCAGTATGATAAATGATGCTGAGGAGAAGGGACTTATATCTCCGGAAAAGATTGTCTTGGTGGAACCCACAAGTGGTAATACTGGTATTGGACTAGCCTTTATTGCTGCTTCAAAAGGCTACAAACTCATCTTAACAATGTCGGCATCCATGAGTCTTGAAAGAAAAGTTATTTTGAAAGCTTTTGGTGCCGATCTGGTTTTAATGGATCCAGCAAAGGGAATGATAGGTGTTGTTCAGAAAGCTGGAGCAATATTGAATAACACACCTGGTGCCTATATGATTCAACAGTTTGATAATCATGTGAATCCAATGAAACAACTGGTCCAGAGATTTGGGAAGACGCAAAAGGAAAGGTTGACATACTTGTTGCAGGGATTGGTACTGGTGGAACCATTTCTGGTGCAGGGCGATTTTTCAAACAGCAAAATCCTAACATTGAGATCATTGGTGTGGAGCCTGCACAAATCAAAGTATTATCTGGTGGAAAGTCTGGCCCTCACAAAAATCAAGGGATTGGAGCAGGTTTTATTCCAAAAACTTTAGATCAAGATGTTATGGATGAAGTTATAGAGATATCAGATGATGAAGTTATTGAAGTTGCAAAGCAATTAGCACTTAGAGAAGGATTGCTGGTGGCCTTTTCCTCTGGAGCAGCTGCGATGAAGGTTGCTAAGAGACCTGAGAATGCTGGAAAGCTCATTGCGGTTGTTTTCCCTAGCTTTGGAGAGAGGTACCTGTCATCTGTACTTTTTCAATCAATTCGGGAGGAATGTGAAAAGCAGCAACCAGAGATATGAGCAAAGTGTACAAGCCTTTTTCATCATGCAGTAATTTTCTGAACACAAATTAAACGATTTTGACAATATTTTGTATACATTCCTTCTCCTTTTGGTATTGTTGTTTATTTCTCCTAGTGTACAAGCCTTTAGTGAAATGATGACGGTCACTAGTCATTACTATATTTTAAGTTTTGACCGTATCCATCCTTTTGTTCTAAGTTTACAATTCAAATCTATATGACCTCTGAAGCAAATCTCTGCATATTTTAAATGTTGCTCAACTTGGGTAGTATTATGAATTTATATATGGGTCAATGAAAATGCTCAAGGTGACATTATGACAAAAGAGAAGAAAAAATACTCCATATTGGTTTTTGCAATCAGCAAAAAAAAAATCAATAAATATCCTTTCTCAAAAAATATATATTGTAAATTGAACATAATAAAAATATACACATATACATTAATAGTGTAGATTAAATTACGATATTATGGATAAGAAACAAAAACGAAACCGTGTACCTCAACTGTAAATTACACTACAAACTGGACATTACTGGTATATTTAGGTGACCTGGGGAAGTCGCCGTTGCTGCCAAGTTGTATCTATGATCTTCACTGTTAATAAATTCCTGACCAATCTTTGTCAATTATTTCCCTCATTTTCTTATATCTGTTGTCCATTTTTTTTATTAGTGTAATGTGTTTTGACATGTAAATCAGACATGATATCACCTTTAAATCTCAATGTTTTGCAGAGAGCATATATTCGTGTATCACTTAGAAAACTACTCACACGGGTTTGGTAAAACTACAGAGGGATCAACAAAAGTGTTGAGAAAAACTTGTGAGCCAATAATATACATAAGGTTATCCAATATGATTCAAGAACCATACAAGTAATTAATGTAAGTAAGTATATAACTCATAGAAAACATCAGCTAATGGCGAAAAGTCAAATTCATAAATGGTTAACAAATACACTACAACCTAATGATTGAAATTCAAATTCAGAAATGGTTAACAATTATACTAAACCTAATGATTGAATTTCAAGCTAAAACACGTAAGATGAGTTACTTCTAACCATTTCATGGATTCAAGACTTGTTTTTTCGGATTGCACACACCCACAAAGAGTAAGGACATATATAATACACCATCAATAAACTTACGGGATGCTCGGTGACTAGCTCAAACTGCTGGCCAGAAATCCTTGGCAACGCCACTGGAAGACTCCACCTACAACGTCCGACATGCATTCGGCGCCAGAGCCGCGTCAACTTTAAGCCACAGTAGTGTTTAGTCGGTGGTCCAACTCTAGTCGCTGGTCCGTCTCTGGTATCTGGTCTTCGGGTCCGTCTATGGTCGCTCTTAGTTGGCCATCCCTGGTCGCTCATCCTGAATTAGTTTGTCTAGGGTTGACATCCTTCAAACGAAAGAGACGAGCATATCATAAGGTTTTAATTCATCCAGATCGGTTATAACCGATCTGGTATAAGGGCAAATTTTTTTTTCGCTTCTTTGATCGATGCTTTCTCGCATATTGCGTCAAGAAAAGCTAGGCGAGTTATTGACACGAGTTAATGCTCCCTTCGAGCAATCGGTTGAACCATTTGTATGCTGGTCCTTCAGAGGTGGAGAGGAACCAGTGGCACAAATATTCATCTGATGCCCCCATCATCATCATATTGTTCTGGTACCTGCTGTAGTGCTCCTGGGGATCAGTCTTCCCCTCGTAGGGCTTGATGGGTTGCCCTCGGTATTCCCCTGGAATCTGGGACGCCAACACCCTTGGGGTAAATGGAGTCCTTTCCCAGATCTAGATGACGGGTTCCCCGGATCCCTCAACAATCTTCCTTTGTATCTCCTCCATCTTGGCCAGCATGACCTCATACTTGGGATCCGCATGGGAGGCGGAAGCGGTTGTGTGCGCTTTGCGGGCCTCCATCTCATCAAGCCAGCGCTGGAGGGCCTCTATGATGTCATCCCGGTGATCCTTTGGGAGTGGTTCCGCCTCGCGCAATTGAACGCGGGTCGAGTGAGCTTGGTTGATTTGGTGCCGGGCGTCACCGGCGTGTAGGATCCCCTTGCCCTTGTCGCGAGGGGGATGCCTCCCATCTGCCCTCGAAACGGAGCCTCCGCTCTCTTGGGGCCTTTGGGGTGCATTCCCACTGAGGCGGTCTTAGACCCCCCCCCCCCCCCCGAGGTCATGTGCCCCTCCGAGTCTGTCGAGGGCGGAGGTTCGGGGCTTATCTTTATTCGCACCGCGGTTGTCCCGGGACTAAGCTTCCTGGGAGTTGGTGTCCTGATCGACGACCCCTTCGTTGTTCCCGATCCGAAGGATAGGGTTCACGAAGGGGAGTGGGGGTGGGGGAGGAACGGCGTTGTCCCCGACATGTGGTTGAAGTGACACCACAGTGCCGAAGGCCCCAGGGTTCTGGGTGAGCGTCTGTATGAAGGCAGAAAATGCTGACTGCACGTCAATAGTGAGGACCAGAGGGCTCACTTGGTTTTTTCTCCGGTCCTTCCTCCGATTCTCGAAGCCGAGGCGAGCTTCTGGGGCCTTTTTCTGGAGCTGGAGACGTAGGTCAACGGCAGCCTGTTCTAACCCGGTGATAGCTCCGCCCTCAGGAGCCGAGGGCCAGGTTCTTATCTTCAAGGGGTTTGGACTAGGCACGAGTGGCTCTTCCCATTGCGAAGGATGTTTTCGTACTTCTAAGGGGAGGGTTTCTTACTTTATTGTTCAGCCTCTCAACGAGAGAACCAAATGATGGATAGTGTACTCGGGGGTAGCTTATCCGAAGGGTTATTACGACTAATAATTTAGAGAGAGGTTAGAGCAAGTAAGAGAGAGAAGGAGTGTATATTTGATATATATGGATCGTGTCTTTTATTACAAGGGAAAATGGCCGCTATTTATAGTAGCCATAAATGCTTGGCATGGACATGTGTCAAATATCCGACGGCCGAGGGTCACCTCAATCAGGGTGGCAACAACATTTGCATGTGCATCGCATTAAATGCGGTGGTTAGACGTGACGCCGCATTAAATGTGATGGTTGACTGTCTCTAAAAGGAATCTTCGCTGAGTCTACTGTATACCGAAGGCCTACGTGTGTCCGCCGACATCATATGGCTGAAGACATCATGTGGCCGAAGGCATCATATAGCTGAAGGTTATATACAGTCAAAGGCATCAACGTAATGTACCTCAGCATCTTGCTTATTTTTTACCCATACTCCTCATCATCTTCTTCTTCCCCAGACTCCTCAGCATCTTGCTTATTATCATCTTTTCACCCTCCCCAGACTCCTCAACATCTTCTTCTTCCCCAGAATCATCAGACTCCTCAGCATCTGTCTTATTATTATCTTTTGCACCCTCCCTAGACTCCTCAGCATCTTCTTCTTCTCCAGAATCATCAGACACCTCTGCATCTTCTTGTTCAGTAGAATCATTCTCTTTATATTCTTCCTCAGTTGTGTCATCATCAGAACTTGTATTACAATCAAGCTCAACTTCTTGTGCAATCTTCTTCCCCTGCACTGTCTTGCTAGAATCTTTTATTTCATACCCTTTCTTCAGAAGCAATGACAATATCTGCTCAAACATTTTATCATGTTTCTTTAGGGTATCTTTGATACCCTTCAGCCCTTTCAAACATATTACTTGAAACTGATCTTGTTCAGAGTTGCTTTGACTCTCAGTTTGTGCCTGCTCTTTACCTTTTTTGCTTTTTGTTGCTTTCCTTCTCACATCAGTACTTTTCTTGGCTTTTTTGAATTCAATTTCTGATTCCTCTTTACCATTCTTGCTTGATGATTTTCTTTTCAAAGCAGTTTTTGTCGGTATTCTCTGTGATCTTCTTTTATCTATTCCAGACTGCATCTTGCTTTCATTGTCACTGTCATAGATCACCTTCTCCACAGCTGCATTCACATCCACCATGCTTTTCTCATTTCTGGTTGTCCACATATTTGCTATATTAGCATCTTCAAGCTCTATTGTTGTTGGAACAATAGGCTGGAACTCAAACTGCAATGGTTGTAGTATCATTAGTTTAACAAATCAATCTATCTTTTAAAATTATATATTTAAATGCATTGATTTATATTAACAATGTTATCAATTTCATTTCCAATGTCAATGTCGTTCAAATGTCAATGTCATTGGCAATGATGTGTCATTGCCATTGTTATGTTATTGCAAGGTTATACCATTGTCAATGACAATGGCAATGTAATAACATTGTCAATGGCAATGTAATAACATTGTCAATGACATTGGTGATAACATTGTCAATGACATTGGTGATAACATTGTCAATGACATTGGTGATAACATTGTCAATGGCAATGTGATAACATTGTCAATGGCAATGTGATAACATTGTCAATGGCAATGTGATAACATTGTCAATGGCAATGTAATAACATTGTCAATGACATTGGTAAGGAAATAATAAAAATGAACTATTCACTGCAATTAGTATGTAGTTACCTTTCTGTTGTCAAAAATATCCTCAGAAACAACTTTAGCAGAAGGCTTTTTGAACAAGCATCACCTTGTGATCCTTGGAACTGCATCCTTTTTTGTAGTAATAACTTTGCACATCTTCGCTCTTGATAATGCTAGGAATGTTTCAAATGCCCAAATTTGTATGGAAAACATATATCCAGGAAAATTGTATCTTCCTTTGTCTGATTTGGACATGTTTTTGGCACATTTCCCAACATTGTTGATATTCATGTAATTTCCATATTTATTTCTGTTTTTAATTAGTTTTGATTGATTATTACTTTGGAAATTACACACTTTTGGTGTAATAGTTTAGTTTGTAAAATACTTGTAATTTGTTTAGATTTGTTTTATTATGAGCTCAAACAGGTCCAAGATCACTCGAGGGACCATGGGTGAACATCAAAAGTGGAAGGAAGGTGCAAAATCTCAAGGCAAAAATAAAGATCCTGGATTTTTGTGTTGTACCCGGTCGGGTATGACCTATACCCGATCGGGTACCTTGTTGAAAAATCAAATCGGATCGGATCCGGTACAA